TCAGTTCCACTTGTTGTAACTGCACTCCATAGATTCCTGTGTTCTAGATAATTTTGTACTTGAAACTTCCAGTCCTGGTAGTTCACGACTCCCTTCAGCTTTTGGATCCCGGCAAGCAATGCACTTGCTCCTGCTTCGTCATTCGACATCGTTGGCAATGTCCTCACAACACATAGGCAATAAGAAGTACGACCCACCAGCAGATTACAAATCTTTCTATTATACACACTCACAGTTCAAAACGTCCTGGGCCCATAACCTGATGAAATAATGTCAGGAAAAGTTGGATGAATTAAAATACACTGTACGTGTGTGTGGAACATAGTGCTTTCACGAGTCTTCCATTTATTAGAAAAAGCGGAAACGGATATATAAAAAAAAATAAGCATAAATGTTGCCAACTTATGATGATGATATGATTACCAATCCAACAAGTAGTGTCCATTAAACCATGCAATGCAGGCTTAATTTTGTGCCATATGGTGAAAGCTGCTATGCATGAACTGCATAAAATGGTTTTCTATTGATGCCTCCATCTTCTGGTGTTATATTAAAATTGTGTATTCATCACGTACTTAAGTGCAAAGTATGAAAATTTGTGATAAAATGTAACTAATCTTACCTCAGACGGAACAGGCAGCAGAAATTGCAAAATTGTTGAAATATTCAGTATTTTTCACAGGGGAGAAGTCAATTTAAATCAGGTTTGTCCAAGATGGCCAAAAATTACATAATTCACTATCCTAGTCGTATTACTATTTCATATGTTGACCAAAGTCCACAGCTTTACAGAAAGCACTGCACACTATATGAAGCCATTCTTACTAGCCCTGTGAAATACCCGCATCACATGACCACGGAACACGTGGCTCACTGTGCAGTTACAACCTTTTACCTTTCTTAAGCGAGAGGGCAGAAGAATGCAGCCATTGAAATGAATGATGCTTCATTACATTCCCAATAGATGACTATGCACCCGCCAAGTTTGAGTGAGATTGGTGCAAAGAAACCGGAGATTTCAAACTCTAAAGTCGCAGTACGGGTTTTGTCGATCGCAGCAAGGATGCCATGTTTTTCAGAGATCGACATATGTCGACTGCAGCAGTGTAAGGGTTAACCTTTTAAAGCCTAAAGGCGACATATGGAGTCACAAAAATAAAGTCAAGGGGACGAATGACTCCATATGTCGTTGCGCAGTCCGCGCATGCGGCCGGCTTTTTAAAATCTAATTTTAAGTTATAAATTCTTTTTCTACTTACATGATTTTTGGACACCAGCTTTATAAGTTGTCTCTCTTCCCACCTGCGTCATCTAACGGAATGTTGGCTTCGTGTGGAGATCTTGGAAACATCCGGAAATGCAGAGTCCGACGTCACACTTCACGCTCTGTGTCCAGACGGTTCTTCATTTCCCACGCAAAAAGCACACACGACACCTCAATTGCGAAGTAGAGGAAGTCGGCCAGTGATGTGGTTTGGCCTCCTCTAATCGAGATATCTCCGATGAAATGGCAGGTGTTCGACCCCTGGGCCATTGATGGCGAGATGGACCCTTTCCAGCATGTTCTGCACAAGAGCGAGACGAAATTCTCTGTGTGACAACAGGATGTAACTGTTCAGATCCAGGAGATGGAAAAATAGTTTATTTGTCCATTTCCAGGTTCGACGACAGATGCTATAACTGTTTGCCCACAGCTCCACCTGAATAATTATTCACACTTCTCTTGCCATGCTGGTGTTGTGGTCCCCAGGTTGCCGACCAAGATGATGGTTCTTCATCAAAATCAATTTCTGATTCACTTTCCTCAACGCCACTCTCAGAATTGTCGGTACAACAATCTGATTCGGAGTCATTTATGAGCTGAAATATGTCCGAGTCTACCAAACGAGACGCCGCAGTGGTTGGTTCACAACTTTGCAGAATGCTAACGTTGACACTGCTTGGCTGTGGTATTAGGATGCTAACCTTGAAAGTTCTTATAATCTACTTCCAGCAGAGTGAGAACAGAGAGCTTGTTGTGTAGTTACAAGCGATAATAAACAATCGGGGTTCTTATATACGAATAGATACTCGCTCACATCTCTCCATGCCGAAAGAATGTACGTGACTAGACAAGGAAATACAAGACTAAACAACTTCTACATTAGCATATGCTGTGTTGCCACATCTGCTGCATTCATACTTGCAAGAACTGTATGAATTCTTGTAGAGAGACGACAAATTGGGGATTTTTTTTGTTGAAATCAGTATAAAAATTTTTACACATTTTATAAAGTCTGTAAATTACAATATCTGATTCTATATTCTTTCTAGAAAAAAACAGCATTTATTTGGTTCATTTATCACAAAAATTGTAGAAATCACAGCAATTTTAGTAAATGATTACAATTTTTATTGCTTTATAATCGCGGGCATTTAAATTAAATCAGTCCCGTAGCCATTACCGGAATTTAGAGGGTCGTCTCTTAAAGGTTAATAGTGGTGAAAATTTGGATTGAACTTTTCTTGATTTTGACACTGCTTGGTCTTATACTGAAACACTATGAGGAAATTTAAATAAAATACTGTATTTATTCAGGTAACACCTTTTAGTGTACTTTCCAAATTTGTAACTGTGTGTGTTGTGATGAAATTTGAAACAAGTGGCTGTTTTTCATGAGCAGCTGCCCCTGAATCCCAGTACCAACATGGTATCCTCTAAACAGTTTAGGCAAGAACAAACATTCAGTGTATGTGATATTTGAAATTCTCATCTTGCTGCATAGTCTTTTAGAAGTTTACAAGCATTTCAGAGGATTATACTGTCTGCTGGTTGCTTCCATGCTTGCTTGGCTTAGTCTTCAGCCCTGAAAATGGAGGCAGGATGTTCTTCAGACATGTCAGTAAACTTCTACTAGATCACACAGCATCATATTTCAGAAGATTGTACTCTTCATTCAGTATTGGATTCAGAACTTCAGTACAGTGCTGGATCTTTGAAAAACAAGCAAGCTTTTAAAGTACTTTTTTGTTAAAAATAAGATTTGAGATGGTGAATATTGTGGCATATAGACCTGTTACTAAGGAGTGACTCTGTAAACAGCAGCCGTTGCTAAGTAACGCCGGCAACATACACACATGCAACACTATAAGAACAGGGTTATGCAACCCATGTCTAAGCAGCAGATCGGTAAACGCCCCTTGTTGGAAATGGTGTTTTCTATTCGATCCATGCAAACTGGTAATAGAGAAGTAGTTGGTTGGTGATCCAGTTCTAGGCTTAGGCCCCCTGAGGCTCATCTTAATTGAATGGACAGAATTTCTCCTTTGTCAGTCATGTAAAATATCTGGATGTGATCTTTGATAAGAGGATTACATGAAGACTGCACTTAGAAATGTTTGAAACCAAGGCCTTCAAAACATTTATTAGAATCTGCTACCTATTCAAAAGTGAGCATTTAAATGCCAACATTAAACTAACACTCCATAAGGCAGTGATCAGATCAGTAATGACTTATGCTTGACCCACCTGGGAATTAGCGGCAGACGCCCACCTCTTAAAACCACATTGCCTACAAAACAAGGTTCTCTGCACCATTTGAAATTTTCCAAGGAGCACACCAGTCTGCAATTTGCACATGGCTTTCAACCTTTTGTATGTATATGATTATATAACAAAATTTTGCAGGCAACAAGCAGAAGTCATATAAAATCATGAGAATGAACATCTTCATAGTATAGGACAAGGTGAAGCCAGACATAGAAAATAGAAGAGGCTTAAACTTGGCAGTGGTCAAGCCTATGACCATTCAAGTGACTAAGCTGCTGTTGTAGAATAAGATTCGTAAGATAAGCATAATCTGCTTTGCAAAGCCTTTACTGACAGAGGACTTATATATAATGGAAAAGGAAGAATTTTCAATAACTTACTACATATGTGATATGTACACTTTACACTAGGCCACGCATGTTCATAAGAGACGAACCCATCTTCTCATAAGAGATGTTACATAAGGACTATAACTGCAAGGGTTCATTTGAAGAAAAATGACCAAGACTGAGTGGTGGTAAACCTTCAGTCATAAAGTAACTTTGACTTCGATTTTGACATTCCAGTTCAGTTGAGTGAAGTGACATGAAGTAGCTGGTTGGTGAGGAGAGAGTTCAGTTGTCAGTTCAGATAAAAGTCAGCCTGTGAATAGAAAACAGAGGTTGGTGTAAAATGGCAGCCAGCCTGGTACCCAGTTTGTTCAGTTGACAATTAACAGGAATTCTGTATGGGACTTGAGCATGGAACGTCTGTTATCAAGCAACAGTTAGTGATAACTGTAACAGCCTGTGAAGGCGTACTGTGTCATATAGCAACACATGGATTTTGATAGATCGCTATCATTCTGAACATGAAAAGTATGAGCTTATTTTAATTGTATTACAAAAAGTGATTGAACATTAAAGTTAGGAATGTTACGGTTTCAATAGCAATAATCTGCAAATTTGGTAGGAAATGATCCTTACTAGAATCACAGTATCATTAATGCAGTATGGGACTCTGTATTCAGAATTAAAAAAACCAGGACCTGAAGTCTGGTAGGATTTCCTTGCTAAAATTCATGAAACAGTTAACTTTGCAAGACATATTTATTAAGAGTAAAGACTGTTTTGCTGACAAGAGTGATAATTCTGGCTCTCATGCAGCTTCAAGAACTTTTTAGGTAAAGCAGATATTAATGAATGTTTGTAACTGTTGAATTTACATGTGTTACAATTTTTTGGCTAAGGGTCCAAGAATCCCAAAATCCAAAAAGGCTTTGGTCTAAAATTTTCCAGATAACAGATCACATACTGTATTACATGTACCATGATGAATGAGTTAGTATTTCACTGAAACAAATGCTCATGTAGAACATGTGAATTTGGTCAGTTCACATACCAACACATTCATGTTTCATTATACGTAAAAGGACCTGTGTTTATGTGTGAAGTAAAAATATAAGTTCACACATTCTTAAACTTGATTCTAGATGGAAGTGAGTGGGTAACTTTACACTCTGGCTGCTTAACCCAAGGAGAAAGAACTCTGGTACGTATTAAATAGGAGGTCAGATGGTTGTAAGTGCTGATGTGGGAATGGAACCATAACTCCTCAGTTGTCTAACCTGCAGTCTAGTTACCATACCAACTAATATATTCCAGCTCATATATCTATGTAATTTGTTTCACAATGCATGAGATTAACAGTAGTTTCTTACTTCCTTACAGGTGGTAGAGCTTCGAGGACTGTTTCAGGTAACCATCAGATCTAATGTCTGTACTTCAAAGCAGTGTTTCTCATCTAGTGGGACATGGAATCTCAAAAATAATAATTAATTCAGTCACAAAAAATCTTATACACAGAAACTTTCCTGCACTGTAAACACTGGCTTCTCATTATTGTTGCACTATAGTCATATTTCTGCTGAAAAAACTATGTTGTTTTATATAATTGTAGTTAAATATTATCAAAAATTGTTACAATTTTTAAGTTCTTAAGAACTTCCATTAATGAATAATGTAATATTGATATATTCATAATTGTATAAAAGTGCACTTCCTTGAAAAAGAGAAGCTTTGTTTTTACAACAGCTGGGCTGTGGTTATTTTAAGTGACAAGTGGGACACGAGATGCAATAAAGTGAGAATCACTGCTGTAAGTTATTTCATTTCATCATAATCATGTGGCATAATAAAGCAAATATCATTGTAATATGGAGAAGCAGGACTTCAGATTCAGACATACAATTGCTTTTCTACAGTTCATATTTTAGTCTCGCCAACTAATGTAACATGTTGGTCTCCTGATAAGATGGGTGATGGAGAAAGAGGTGCTAAGAAATCAGATTAATACTGTATTGGAAGATTACTGTAGAAACAGAACTGAAAATAGGATATTCACTAGGCAGAACTGCAGTTAGTTGTAACATAATCTTACTGTAACTATAACATTTCATAACTGAGAACAGTGATGACACCACATAAACTAAAGACTTCACTTCTGACTTACATATTCCATGTGTAATTTAATATAATTGTGGTACAGTACGTACATGCTAAGAGTTCACTTAAAGTGTCCTTCTGCATAAATTTTCAGCAAGAATAAGGATTTCAAAATGTGTATCTACCTGTAGTTTTATATGGGTGTGAAACTTGGTCTCTGACATTAAGAGAAGAACATAAACTGAAGGTATTTAAGAACAGGGTGACAGGAATATTTGGACCAAAGAGGGTTGAAATGGTAGGAGGTTGAAAAAATTGCATAATGAGGAGCTTCATAACTTATACTCTTTGCCAGATACAATTAGAACCATTAACTTGAGGGTGAAATGGGCAGGGCATATAGCATGCATGGGGCACAAATGCATATAGGATTTTGGTGGGAAAGCTAGGAGGAAAGAGACCACCAGGAGGACCTAGCTGAATTTGGAAGCTAATATTAAAATGGATCTTAAGTAGGATGGAGTGTTATGAACTGGATTCATCTGGCTCAGGATAGGGACTACTGGAGGGCTTTTGTGAACATGGTTATGAACCCTGAAGTTGCTTAAATTATTTCAAGTTTCTTGAGTAGCTTTGTGACTGGCCATTTCTCAAGAAGGATGGAGTTAGTTATCTACAAAGCAGGATCTGAAGGAGAAGAGTTAACTGCACTCTGCTGCTAACAGCTAGTTGACCCCTTGGCTATCCATACCATGTCTACTCACATTCTCAGTTAAATTTAGTAAAGGCAAAGTATAGTTACATTTTCTTGACCATGATCCTCCTCATATATTATGATCTGTCAACTGTACCTCTTCATGTATTCATAAAATTGCATTTATTGACCATCTGAAGATCTTGTTAGGTTTCATTAAATTGTGTCTGTTCCCCCAAGTTCATGCATAATTCATGTAATATTACCACCATGAATATCAAATCATATTACATACTATTTTACTGCTGGGAGTCCAATTGTCTTAGTAACAGACAACTTATTTTTTTTTTTTTACTAAGAAACCTATACAGTTGACAACAGGAAAGAATGACCAATTTCATTGTTCAAAATATGAAAGTTTGTGTGATTGAAAAATGAACCATAGGGTTACGTCTGTGTACATTAACACAAATATATAATTGTGAGGAAGTGTAACAGGCACAATATTGTCTCATTGGGTCTTATGAACATTGAAATGGAAACCACATTTTTTGTTATGTTTGTTCTTCATTCTCTTTTCTTTATGCATTGTGCCATATTGCTAGGGGAAGTTCTCAAAACTTATATTGTATAGAATTTGGAATGAACAGTAGAAGTAAATCTACAGTTAATTAATATCCAGTTACATTTTATGCTTTGATAGAGCTTGACATATGCACGTGACGGTGCAGTGATACATTCTTTGGTCACAGAAAGGTGAACTTCATATGGGGAGGTTCAGTCTTAAAAAACTAAAAAAGGTAGATGGTAAAGAATATTACTGAGTTGAAATTGCAGGTGGTTTTGCAACTTTGAAAAAACTTGGATGATAATGTACATATTAATAGAGCTTGGAAAACTGTTAGAATATCAAAATATCAGCCAAATGGATTCTGGGTTATTACCAACTGAAGCAGCATAAGGCATGGTTTGACATAGGATATTCAGAACTATTATATCAAAGGAAATAAGCCAAATTGCAGTGGTTACAGGATATAAGTCATATAAATGGGGATAATGTGAACAATATAAGACTGAGGTTAGCAGGTATTTCAAGAATAAAAAGAGGGAATGTCAGAAAGACAAAATTAATGAGCTTGCAACAAACAGTAAGAACATTAGAGACCTGAATAGAGGAAGAAATTAATTTAAGAAGGGTTACCAACCTAGAGCTAGTTCAATAAAGGATGAGAATGGTGATCTGCTTGCAGATTCCCACATTTTGAATAGGTGGAAGAATTGCTTCTCTCAGCTGTTGAATTTGCATAGGGTCAGTGATGTTAGGCAGATAGAAATGCATACAGCTCAGCCATTAGTGCCTGAGCCTAATCATTTTGAGGTTGAAATTGCTGTTGCAGAGTTGAAAAAGTATGTTACCAGGTACTGATCAAATTTTGGCTAAATTGATTCACACAGGAAGTGAAATATTATGTTGTGAGATCTATAAACTCATTAATACTATTTGAAATAAGGAAGAATGGCTTGAGCGGTGGAAGGAGTCTATTGTTGTGCCGGTTTACAAGAAGAGCAATGAAACTGACTGTAGTAATTATCAAGGAATATCGCTGTATCAGCTTCATACAAAATTTTATCTAATATTCTTCCTTCAAGTTGATGTCCATATGTAGATGAAATTATTGAGGATCATCAGTGTTGGTTTCGACGTAACAGATCAACTACTAATCAGATTTTTTGCATTCGTCATATACTGAAGAAAAAGTGGGAGTACAACGAGACAGTACATGAGATATTCATAAACTTCAAGAAAGCCTATGATTCAATTAGGAGGGAAGTATTACACAATATTCACATGAAACTGAGTATGCTGATTAACATGTGTTTAAATAAAACCTGTAGTAAAGTCCATATAGGTAAACAATTGTCTGATACACTTCCTATTCAAAATGGTCAAAAACAAGGAGATGCTTTATCACCATTGCTTTTGCACTTTGCTTTAGAATATGCCATTAGGAAGGTCCAGGAAAATCAAGTAGGACTGAAATGAAATGGGAGACATCACATACTGGTCTGTGCTGATGATATAAATCTGTTGGGAGGTGACATATATACCATAAAGAAAGGCACTAACTTCATGGAGCTAAGCCCTTCACAAGAAGCCACCAGTTGTGCAGCTACTCCAGAATTTCTCAACATCCTATGGAACCCAAAAGTTGATTACTGTCTTCACAAGAACCATCCACTTTTCTGTATCCTGAGCCGGATCAACCAGTCCATACCACCCCGTCCTGTCTCTAATACCCATTTCAATATTGTGACAAGGTGGCTGAAAGCTGGAATAATCTAACAAGTATAAACGTCCATTGCTGGGCAACAGCTTGCTAAACGCCCACTGTTACTGTGGTTTTGTTTGAACTGTTGGAGGCATATCCATGGTAACGATTTCTTAAAAGATGCAAACACAGTACTGGAGCCCTTGAAGGCGATGATTTCTATATGGTTCTCCCAAAGTTACAAAACGTAGAGCAGTTTGCCAGAGGAGTTAATCTCATGTGAATGCGGGGTTAGATACCTCCACCATAGCCCTCTGAGTCGTAGGAGGCAACAAAAAGGGAAATCATCAATCCGGTACAGTAAAATATGGTAGTGAGTCCCACAGGACTGAGACCCAAGAATGACTACACTGGCAAGGGCCAGCAGCAATTGTAAATGACAGACCCATCCTCTCATCAGAAAGAGCACCCCATATTAACAAATCTGCAACTGTCTAACAGTAATAGAACTCTGGTCGTAAGCACCAGACGGGTGCTTTATTCCAAGACAGACTGGCCAACTGATTGTTGGTTGTAGCATGAGACTCTACTCAGACGAGTTAGTTATGTGTGTGAGACAGTCAGTCGCAGCTGAGAAACATCGAGTCAAGGACATGAAGCCATCATGGAAAGGAGTTGTAGGATTCAGCTGTGAAGTGTTAACCAGATTCATCCAGTTGTAAAACCTCATTCACGGCAGTTCAGTAGTTAAAAGTTTTGATGACATTATTTCATATGTTATAGTTACAGTAATCTTGAGAGTGTTATAATTATTTGTAGTTACGACTTGTGAGTATCCAGTAAATCAATTCACCAGTCCAAACCCAGTCTACGAGTCACTAATACACATGCCAATATCATCCACCCCCCCCCCTTGTGGCTTGGTTTTCTTAGTGGTCTCTTTCCTTCTGGCCTTTCCATTAATATCCTATATGCATTCCTCTTCGCCCCATTCCTGCTACATGCCCTGCCAATTTCATTCTCCTTGACGTGATAATTGTAATTATACTTGGTGTAGAATACAAGTTATGAAGCTCCTCATGCAAATAAAGAAAAACAGAAACACTAATTTAGTAAGGAGGCTGGTATAGAACTAACATAGAGAAAACTAAGTATATATTGCTGTCTCATCACCAGAATGCGAGACAGAATTGTGATGTAAAGATAGCTAACAGATGCTTTGAAAATGTGGCACAGTTCAGATATTAGGAAACAAGAGAAACAAATCAAAATTTGATTCAAGATGAAATTAAGAGGAGATTGAATTTGGGTAATGCTTGCTGCCATTCAGTTCAGACCCTTCTGTCTTCTGGTCTGCTGTCCAAAAATTTAAAAACTGGAATATATAATATCATAATTTTGCCTGTAGTTTTATATGAATGTGAAACTTGGTCTCTGATGTTAAGGGATGTACATAGACTGAGAGAATTTGAGAACAGGGTGCTGGGGAGAATATTTGGACTGAAGAGGGAGAACATGTCAAGGAGGATGAGATGGGAAAGGTATGTGGCATGCATGGGGCAAAGAGGACTGCATATCGGTTTTTGGCGGGAAAGCCAGGAGGGAAGAGACCACTAGGCAGACCAAGACTTATGTGGGAAGTTATTATCAAAATTAATCTTAGAGAAATAGGGTGGGATGGTATAGACTGGATTGATCTGGTGCAGAATAGGGACAGTGGAGGGTGCTCGTGAACATGGTAATGAACCTTCAGGTTCCATAAAATGATGGGAAATTTTTGAGCAGCTGAATGATTGACAGCTTCTCAAGAAGGACTCAGCTCCATGGAGTGAGTGAGTCTGTGAGTCAGTCAGTCAGGCAGTTGGTCAGTCTGTCTTCTGGATTGTGACACCATGTAGTCTGGTAGATGGTTACCAATGTTTCAGAGGAACTTGCTGCTTCCATCTTCAGAGCTGAAGATGGAAGCAGTATGTTCCTCAAAAATGTTGGTAAACTTCTGCTAGACTATACAGTGCCACATCTTCATAGTCACTGCTGTACTGCAGTATGCAGACTAATACATAACATGTCTTTAAAACCAAACGTTCAGCTAAGTGGGTAGCACTCCTCTTCTATATATGGGAGGTCCCAGGTTCAGATCTTGGCCCAGAGATCAGTTATCTTGATGACTGAGGTTTTTCATGAATTTTCTTACTTCTGCCAAGCAAGATGGCTGAAGTGGTAATGCTTCTGGCTTGTATTCAGGAGGTGACCAGTTCACATCTTGGCCAGGACACCAGCTGTCCTACCTTTTTTTTTTTTTTTTTTTTTTTTTTTTTCCTTTTTTCAATGCCTCTAGGCAAATGTCGCTGTAGTGCCTCTGATTAGGCCACAGATTTTGTCCCATTCATTATTCTTCCTACTATTAGATGCTGCAGAGTCTGAGTTTCTGACAGCATCATTAAATGAAACGCATACCCCCTCAGCCCCTCAAGGCACATGCCAGGATATCATGTCACACTATGACATGGGCACTCCCCTCCATATTGCTTCCATATACACTGATCATCTTACCATTCATCGCTGTATAGCCTGAGTTCTTGACTGCAACATAAAATGAAACAAATAGGCATGTATATAGAAAATTGGTATTACTTAGAATGACTTTCAAAACATAAGTAAAATTTGCCTTCTTAAAAGCCAAGATGACATAAGAGTTCAGGCAGATCATTGCAATTGAGTAGGTACCACTTTTGTTTTGTATTTTGGAGTTCAAATCTCAGCCCAAAGAGTGGCTATCCTGATTTAGGTTTTTTGTGGTTTCCTCCAATCCATCCAGGCAAATGCCAATGTAATACAGTAAGTGAGGTTATAACTGCAACCTTACACATTCTCAGCAGTTCAATACTAAGCTACTGACAGCTGCATTAAGTAAACCGTACTTTGTCCATCATATGCTATTCTAAAGAACACAATGTTTCTTAAACTGGATCTGTTTCATTCCTCACTGGTCCACTGGTTGAGGTTAACTCGTTTTAACAGATCCAACACAGTAGGTGGCTCCCCCCCCTCACCTGAGGACAGAAACAAAACCAGTTTCCTAAACATTGTGTTCTTTAGAATATCAGATGATGGACAAAGCCCCAAAACTCAGTAATCCTCAATAAATAAATAGATTAATATAATATTAGAGCTAGTCATGAAGACTGAAAGGCATATTGTGTTTTTGAACTTTATATTCCAAGCTCAGAAGCTCAAAATGTCTCCCAGAATATATCAGAAAATCTTTGTTATGATAGGAGAGCTTTTTATAAGACTTGCTACTGTAAATTTTATTCATTAGAGATATTGTTTATGAAGTTCTTGAACCGTATCAGACTTTAACCTTTAATATGTCAGAATATATTCAAGCTTGATGCCTAGAAGTGTTAGCTATCAAAACATAGACTATTTAGTTTATATATTTACATATCTCTTAAAGGTGTTATGAATTGTTAAAATTTGAAAGTTATGCAGGAGATTTGTAAACATTCTGAATTTCTCATTTTTACTGTCAGTTATTAGATCTCTTTCATCCATCACTCCTAATAAAGGAAGCATATGCATTTTATTCGAGTAGTTCGTGAAGTTTTCTTCTCCAGTGCCATATATGCATCATCTCTACAGTAATAATGAGTAATTGTGATAGAAGTTAAAACTTCCAGTGGTGCTCATAATAGGCTTGTAGATTCATTTCATTACCAGACCATGACTATGTTGCAATGCATTATTTTCAGGTAGTCAAATAATAGTCATGATATTAATTAGGGACTTTCTTTACAAGTTATATAATG